GCTTGATGGCAGCATTCAGACTGTCAAGACAATTATGTTTTGATTTTAAAAAGTGCTGGAAAGGCAGAAGATGTCATAATTCATTTCCATGTTGATACAGCTCCTAATGGAGGATAGAAGTAGAAAACAACATTTTCCACTTTTAAAGAAATAACATGTAAATTATTATTAATAAGATTAAAAAGCTATTTTAATGTTCCACTTATTTTTTTAATTCCTTTAATCCAGAGGTGACAGTTGTTACTCTGGTGTGTGTTTACCATCTTTTCAGGAAGCTTAGGCCAAAGACTGAAGTCAGATTTTGAGTGAAAACGTGTCTTGCTTCAGTTTGTTTCAAGCATTTTGTATTTACATGTAAGCTCAATAGAAGTCTTCTGTTGAAAAGAAGGATGGAGTGTGTGTCTTTGGGAAGGGTACTGAATTAGGCTTAAAAAGCTTTAGAAAGCACTGGGTATTGGGTACTGCACTGTATGCCTTTGAATTGCAGGCAAGCTAATTCATCAAGTATACATTTTTATATTTGAAACAACTGCCTAGCTTGATGAAAATCTTATTTTTCTCCAATTCTGCTTTCAGGGCAGCAAATAAATGCTTTTAGAGCTAACTGCTGCTGTGATTTTGAGTATTTCACTGGTGAAGGTACTTGAGTATTTCTCAGTATTACTAATAGAACAGCTTTGAGAAAAATGTACTTAATGCACAAAGCACACTTATCCTTTAAATTTATTTATTAGCTTTCTAGTCAGTCGGCCTTGAGTGCATGGGCTTTCTGGATTGCCAGTCAGAACTTATGTAATTTTCCTGTTACACAAGCTGGCAGCAGCACTGTTCATTTGAGCAGCTTGTAAGGAAGAAATAACACTTGAAACTTAGCTGCAAAATGAGACTAAATATTTTGCCATTTTAATAACAATGTGTATTCTTCATTATCAACTGTTTCTTCCTGAAGAAGTTTCTTCCTCTTCCTCTGCATTTTAGTGCCACCTCTAATTTCATGTAATGTTTTTGGCAGAATTTCATGCTAATAACTTGCAGACTATCTTCAGAACTGGAAAGCTGATATGATGTTGTAATTAGGACGGTGTAAAGAATTCATCAATTTACTTAAGACTTTATTTACAGTGTCAGAAAATAAGGATATACTAAGTTAAGTATTTCTTAAAAGTAGTTGCAAGGATCCTTTATTAGCCTTGGGAGTTTGAGATGCACAGGCAGAGAAAGCATTATAAACATCTGGCAGAAGATGGGACTTTTCTGTTCTCACTGTGCTTTAGTTTTCTTGCCTGTTTAGAAGAATGGTGCAAATGCATTTAAGCTGTTTATGAGACTTGTAATCATGGATTTTCTGGCTACAAAAAGCAGGTTAAACACATGTTATGTGCTCTGGTTCATTGGTTTGGTTCCTTTGGTACTCTGTGTAATGATATGCAACATGGACCTTTCACACTCTATTGAATTACAGATCTGGGTAGAGTCCTGCAGTGTGCAGAAATTTTCACCATTTGGAAAGGTCTGCTTTTTAGGTCCCTATGGCTTGTATTCAAGTTCTTTTGCAGCTTTTTACCCCTCTGTCCACTGATGAAAAAATCGGACACTATTACTGTTTTTTCCTCTGATGAGCTCTCAAAAACACACCAAAGGCCAAAGAGTCTTTTCTACTGAAATTGGCATGAAACACTTAAAATAGGTCATTGGGAAAACAGTATTTATAATGTCTGAAATTAATTTACAGTGTTCTAAAGACAGTTCAAACTGAGATGTTGAGTAGGATTAGAACAATTATATACAACTTTAAGTAATTTTAAAAATCAGATATCCAAATAGTTATTTTGTTTCCAATCACACCTTTTTTTCTTAAAGTGGATATAGGAGATAAGGCGTTTCTATAAAAGACTTTTATAAATCCTTTTAAAGAAACAGATCTGCTTTGTACCTTCCACCAAATGCCTCTAAAATGTTTGGCTAGCTGTTTTGACTGAACACGGAGTCAGGCAGAAAAACTGCCATGTCATGTACTGTTGGACTGCTAGTTGAAAGTGGCATTGGAGCTGCTGGCAGGCTAATATTCCACTGTAGGAAAAGAAGCAGGAACACTGACCTTCATGGCATGGTTAGTGTCACATACTCCTCAGGCTGCTGAGAAAGCCCACGGCCCCTCCAAGGGGCAGATGCAAATTGAACATACTGCTACTGCTGCCTCCTTCATCTCGTTGAACAGACGTGATTTGTTAGCTCCTTGGCTAAAGCACCAGGATCCACTCCTAGGGGAGCTGGCTGCTGTTGCAGGGAGGAGCAGGAAGGGGTGGTGTGAATTCAGCTCTCAAGTGTCTCTTTTCCCTGTCTGATGGGAAGTTAATACTTTAGGTGTCAAAAAAAAAAAAAGAGACAGAAAAGCTTGCAGGTTTAGAGGCACTAAAGGTAAAACCCGAACTCGTAGTGTTTTGAATTTTTTGAGTTATGGAGGCCTTGTTAATTTTGCTGTTATTTTTGTCTTCATTTCCCAGGGTTCCTAAGCTCAAAGACAGTCAAGTGACTTAGCAGACATGGCAGCAGCCATTCATGGGCCAGGCTGTGCTGAGGGTCTGCAGCAGAGTCAGCAGCTGTAGGAAATGGTGTTTCTCTCCAGCTGCAGAATCGGGGCCTGAATTATGCCTTGGGCAAAGGGTCACAGGGGACATCTAGTTGTTGTCTTCAGAGGGTTAATGATTCCTGGAGTCTTTCTCATTGCGAGATAGGGAGTGAGTACTTTAGGGAGAGTCACTAACCAAATACTGGGTTACATAACTGTGTTTATGGAAGGACACATTTGCTAGCGACCTTAAACATTTTATATAGATGTATGTAATTCAGAGATTTGAATGTCTTTTTTCAGTTTGCCTCTCATATAAACCTGACTGACTCTCAAATGAGTTTACTTTCTGAAAGATAATAGACTTCCTAATACATTTTGTTTATACTTCCACATACAAACAGTTGTCATAATTTTAAAAGTACTTCAAAATATTATATTTTATATAGAAAAGCATTCATCTGACTGTATCCTGTGCATGGTTGAAACATGCAAACAGCTTAAATCCCATATATGGGTCACCCTACCTTCCAACTGAAGGAAGATGATTACTTCTGTGAGCCAAATAATATATTCTGAAAGTTAAGAAATGCTCTCTATGGGGTTATAGCTCAAATTCAGTGCAGTCATCACAACTCCTGCCACGAAGCAAATCTGTTTAAAATAAAAGGCTAGAAAGACATATTCAGTCTTGCATAAGCACCAACTTTGAAACTACTGACCACGGATCTCATGTGAAGACAGTGGTGCTTGTTGCTGAAGTGAGAGAGTCAAAAAGGCTTGTTGGTGTGACAGTGGGGTGGTTGTCTCTTTCCTGCAAAGTCAGGCTTGTGACCCACAGTGTCAGAGAGGAATGTTACATTTCTGCTTAGAAGATATTCTTAATGCATCAAGTCCATCAGGGTTCGATTTACTTTTCCACAAAACTACAGTAAAGGAACAGATACACAGAATATTGGTACTTCATTTGCTTTGATGGCTGAGATATCATCTAATTCTTACTCAGAAAAGAGTTTTGAGAAACAATTTGTCATCTAAGCCACTCTATGATTACATAGATAGTTTACATAAAAAAGAATTGTTAAAATAGTGGAATTGTAAAGCCAAGTATTCCAGACTTAGAGTACTCCAGAAATTAATGTCCTAATTTGTCTCACTTCTGCATTGTTTTTTAATTTCATTAGATTTACAAAGTTGGTTGAGGCACAATAGGTGCACTCCTGGAGCATATCTCCCAGTTTACTTTAATCTGAAATGCATTCAGCTCATGCACTTCAAAACTCCACTGTGTAAACCAAAACACAGTAAGAGGGGACAACCAAGAGATTTCACATCCAATGATTGGAATTGAAATCTTCTTGTAGGTACATTCATTGTTTAGCCTTTCTGCTATCTTCATGCAGTACATGTAACAGAAAGAGCTGAGCTAATGAGCAACTATTCAGTAATTTATTTTAACCTTTTGTTCCATGCATGGCCCAGAGCTGTTATTGCCTACTGTTCAAAACCTGCTCTGAATCCAGAGTTATTAACATCCTCACCAGTTCCCCCTGGAGTGCTCATTGTAACAGTACGCAGGTGGTTGGCAGGCAGTAAGTTCAATTCTACTTCATCATAGAGATATGGAAGTGTGCAGTGGTTCCCCTTCTGCAGGCAGTGGCAGACAGGCTGGAGAAGCTAGTGTAGAAGCTATTGACTATTTTGTGTTTCCAAGGTTGAAATTCATCAGACTGAAGATTTTTTTAAGGGTGTTGAACATCGTTCTTGCTCAAACTCCAGCTGCTTTGACCTCTGCTGCAGCTGTGAGTGCCCAGCCTTTCTGCAAATCAGACTCCAGATTGTCAAGACAGACACTGGTAAAATGAAAGAAAATTATTAGTGAATATATGTAAAATAAATAAAATTTAAAAATGGTGTTTGAAGCAAGTTACCTAGCATCCTACTGGGAGTCTGAGTTTGAGGTAGAAATGATTGCTAAGTCCCAGTGTCAAGATTCAGGTGCATTTGCCATGCTTGCTTTTTTGTGAAATCTCCTGTTTCTTTTCCTGCACGCTTTCAGCTTTTGCAACAGATGGAAGAGGAGCTAAATGAGAAACAGATATAGTGAGTGGTCTAGGAGGAGCTGTGCTTGCCTTGGAGTTAAGAGTTTTCTGGAAGTAAAGTAGCTCTAGAACTAGATTAACCTGTGGCTTCCTATGGATTTGTGTCTTGTGGTTGGTAGGAAGCTTTGGTTGGTCTGATGGAAGCTTTTCCCTTGGGCTGAGTTACTTCTGAGGCTCTCCTCTGTGTGAATTCTTCTGGTTGTAGTAACTCATGAATGGATGTTGCAGTTTTGCTTGCATCAGGTCTTCTGTCTTTTAGCCAGCTGCCTACGT